AGGAAGTTTTGTCATCCATCCATAGGCCCTGTAATTCCTGACCATTGATATATGCACCCCATCCCTGAAGTGAGGCATCTATGAAGAGATGGATCTAGGAATGAGGTGGTGGTAGAGGAACACCTATCATAGCATTGTTCTGATCTAACTACCACTCGAGTTCTAAAATGTTGATCTTGAATAAGGAGATTGGGTGATCCAGTGGATCACTGTTCATGATCCATTGATCATGCAGTGACCACTGAAGGGATCTCATGTGTACTCATCCCAAAGTATTGAGAGAATCGAGTGATGCCCACATCCCCAAAAAAAGAAAGAATCATCCACACAGTGGGAGAAGGAGATGGGAGTAAGAATCTGACTGCCTGTTCAATAGCATGGAGCTGGATGGGAGTCAGCTGAGCCCAACTGAGATATGTGTTAAAAAATACACCCAGATGGACAATATATTGAGTTAGAATAAGAATAGATTTTTTGGCTCTGTTAATAAAGCCTGCCTTGGTGGCTTCTTAAAGGAGACTCTGGTGTAACATTCTTCCAACTAACGAGATGGTGCTAGGAGTAACCAGTCATCCATATAATGATGTGTGCATGGGCCTAGAGAATGGAGGAGATGAGAAAAAAGCTCATACTATTCTGCAGAACACATATGGTTCCAATGCTAGTTCAAAGAGCAGAGCTTTGAACTGCAAAACCTGACCCTTGAGTATAAAACGTAGATAGCGGTGAGGCAACTCTACTATGGGAATAAGTAGGTAGGCATCAGCAACATCGAATTTGGTCATCCACAGTCCCACAAAAAATGCCAACGTAGAGTGGGGAGTGACTACATTGTGAACTTGGGAGGATCTAAGAATTAGTTGAGACAAGGAAGATCAATGACTGAATGCCAATCACCTGTCTTCTTGGGCACAACAAGCAGACAGGAATAAAACCCCAGAATAACTGGGTCGACTCTCCCCACTGTCCCTTGACCAACAATTCTCTGATAGCCCTGGAATGAAGATCCAAAATCCGAGGATCTGTTGGAAGCAGGAACACTACAGGTTGGGGGGATAATGGTGGTGGAGATGTGAACTGAATGACAAACCCTGACACAAAAACCTGTAGCATCAATGGATTTGTAGTAAAGAAATTCCATACATCCAGAAAATGTCATAGCCGAGCCCCCACAAACTTCACCGGCATAGGGTAGTTACCACTGCCACTGATGGCATTCCTTTTTATATGGGTGGAATCTATTCTGGGTACCAATGAATTGAGGGGGTTGATGTCGGGGGTCGGGACACTGAAATAGGGGTAGAGCTGTGACTCCCTGTAGAAGCCTAGGAAAATCGATAGGCTAACAACGACAATGATGAATGCAGATGAGTAATATCAATTTGTGATTCCAAAGACTCTGAAATGGCCACAAAAATCACAGGTTGAAGAAAGGGGGGCCTCTTGGAGGGTGGCAGCAGGAATATGAATGCCCTCCAACAACACATCTCTACCCAACAACATACCAGCCAAGAAACTAAAGAAAGAGCAGAATCTGACAATCGTACCAAGGTAGATGCCAACAAATGTCTCAACTCATCATTAAATTGATGTGGTGATCACTGAGAGGCTTCTGACAAAATTTGGAGGGATGATTAATATCTCAGAACCCTACTGAGGGCTAGACGAATCTTAGAAAATTGTAATCTCTTCAAGTTGATCACAGGTTCCATTCTGAAGACCCACATTTCCAAATGTGGGTCTGGTCATAAAGAGCTTAAATAAACATCCCCCTGGGGGTGTTAAGCCAAAGCATGTTGTTCCGACAAATGTGGTGGACAAGGCATAGCTATCCTTCATGTAACTAAGTAGTAAACTTCCTTGCATGAACAGCAATATCAGGTGATGGAGGAAGAACTAAATGTTCATCCTCAGACCTTTCTGCTATCAAGAAAGGCACAGACTTAAAGGCAACTAGGGAAAAATCCAAACATCATTCACCCAATTGTCCAACTGAAGGTGGATTATCCAAATTGGCTTTATGAGAAGCCGACCCAGTAAAGGAAGGTGCCGGAAAAAGTGAATCTAAATTCTTTCCAGAATGTCTAGGATCATCTATAAAAGCAGCCTCAGAGTCCCCCAGAAAAACACCACTGGACGAAATATATGTCTCCATCTCACTACAAATCAGATCATGGATTGCCTCAACTGAGAGTGACTCTCAGTGATATTAGAGGTGGGATAGGGGAAGTCTGATTAGCCTCTGTGCTGAAACAGTAATCCGGAAATGCATGCTGTATATCGGCTTGTCAAAGGAAAAAAAAATCATTATTTTTTACAAAATCAATTAGGTGACGTGAAAATTGCTCTAACAGTCTCTAAATTCACAGTACAGAGAAACCCATTTCTGAACACTTTGTCGAGAAAAAGTGATAACATTATCTGAATGAGGTTCTTGTTATACAGTACCAGGATAGAGGATGCATTGATATAACTGGAGAGTGTCACGAGATACATCTTGTAAAGAGCAATTAAGTGTGGTATAAAAGGCTGGAGCAAGCAAGAAAAAATCAGACCAATGCTTAAATGGGCAAAGGAAAAAACCCTTACAGTCGAGTAATAACTGTCGTGTGAGAGGAGGTATGTTTTGGAAATATTATTTTAAAACAAGTGGATTGTGTGCTGTCCGTTTATTATTGACATTTATCACCAACGAGTCACAGACACCTATTGTAAAAAAATCCAATCCAGCCCATATTAAAAACCTGACAAATATTAGATATATACTAGACATTTAGCAGTAATATTAACCTTAAGAATCACCAATGTAGCTCACACCATGCTGTCTCACTCCACAAGGCAGGATAATGATTTGTTACTCAGTCACCCTAGTAAAAGAAATTCAACCTCTCAGAATTTCAGTGTTTTGTAGTATTCCAAACTAAGTACTGTTCAAGATTTATAGAATTGAAAATTCCTATCTTCATCACAAAACAAAGTTCCACTCAATACACACTAATTAAACTTCAGTCATGACATGACTTTATCTAAATCATTAATGGACGAAACTCTTCTTTTGTGTGTGTGTGTGTGTGTCAACTTATAAGTGGCAAACCATTAGACCAATTGTCACAAAATCTTACATTTCCTTACAGCCCCCTAAGGAGTGAGGGAGTGATATCATGGGTTGACACATTCAAATCTGATCCCCTTATGTCAACCTCCAAGAATCCCCTACATCTTTCCAATGCTTTGAACAAGTGCATCAACTAGTGACTTCAAATTACCCTTATTCACATCATAGAAATAAAAAGAGTTAAGATAATGCATACCAGATTACAACCTCAAAATATCAAGCACCAGCTTGGAAATCCATAATTGTTACTTTTCTTTCTATAAGGCATAAGTTATAGGTATAAGTATCTCTATGAAATTTTAGAGTTTAGGCCAGGTCACAAATTCATTGTATTATAACTTTAAATATCTTAGTATATTATTATCTGTGATTATGTGTAATAGTACGTTGTGTACTGTGAAGTTCAAGTGCTTTCTGCAAATAAGCAAGTGAACTACACTAAAGTTATTTATTCTTACAAAATAAAACTGTTTTACACTCAAATTTTTGATTTTCTTCCTGTATGTTTCTCAAATCAGATGTTATTTTAGTAGAATGTCTGTATTGTTTTCAACACATTAGCATCCTTCCTAAAATAAGGAGTACTAAAACAGAACACATCATTATACATATAAAAATAGAACTCTTGGTAACTTTTACTCAATACAGATAAACAACTGATTAAAGGTGGCAAAGTTTTATTAATCATGATACCGAAATTCTTATCTTTCTAAACAACATTAATATTTAACCCAATATATCATTTTTATAATAATATACCCTAAGTACGTCACTTTACATTTCTCTGTACTGAATATTAATTGCTATATTCTTAAACATCAAGTCTTTCTCAAAGAAATGTTTTCTAATGATTTAGCTTTTCCCAGTATCTTAAAATCATCAATGAATTTGATTATCTTACTACACAGTGGCCTTCTGTTTCTCTGCCAAATCACTGATATAAATAATTAACAGCATGGGTTCAAAAAAAGACCCTGAGAAATCTAACCACTTATACATTTTCAGTACCAAAATAATTTCATATTCAATGTTGTAAATTTAAATGAAGTATAATGCACAATCGAAATTTGTAACCTTTATAGAAATTAAACATATGAATTATTTTCAGAGAAGTATAATTGCAGTATTCTCAGGTGGAAATTGATTTCCCAACAAGTATTAGATAGTTAGACCCACTAATAACAACAGATTCAGTCAGGAAATAAAGGAGAATAATTTGTATGTGATAACTGAGTTTTCTTAGTTTACGTAAAATAATGAGACTGGATATGTTCAACGAAATCTTTATTATTGAACAAACAAGAAAAGAAAATGAAGCAAACATACTTGTGCACATGGGTAGACAGTTGTTTCTACCAGACTGTGATTAGCCACACATATTTTTTTTAGATCAATTTCTGTGGAACTAAGCATGATGATCTTAAATTACATATTTATTTGATGAACCCTGTACTACAAAAGCTTGCATGAAAATCAACAGGTAATTTACTTTTTTTCAGTTGAGAGCATCATGATGTTTGTTCTCTCACAACATTTGTCTGCTGTAACATACAGACAATGTTGAGTCAACCAGCAAAGGATATTAGTCACTAATTCTTTCAAGCTGAATGCTATATGTTACTGCAATATCCTCTTGGACAGAACTGAAACTATCTACTACAGAGAACAAAGAAGCCAGAATAAGACAATTATAAATACTTTCTGGACCACATATTTATGCTAAAACTGCATAGAAACTAAATAAATGAAAAACTTTAAAAATTACTATACAAAAAATGCAGGTAGAAAACGTATGATATGTCTGCATATCACACATTGAAACATGTCATTTTATTCCTATTTTTTAAATTCGTTTTCTATCTTTTCTACAAGTTTACTAACATACCTTTTATGCAGAACCTCAAAGGCTTTCTGATAGCCTAGGCACACAACAGCAACCAGAATGCCCCATTCAAGGTAGTAGGAATCTAAATGGCAAAACATTCACAAATTGTTGAAAAAATAATAATGCTAAATTTACTATGATAATATTTATCTTAAAATTATAGATTTCTAGATGTTTTCTAAAGTTCTTGACAAAATAATTCTAATAATTTATCTATAACAGTTAAACAAATAAAAGCACAACTTCCAGGTTTATCTAAAATCTTTTTGAAAAAACAGGTACCACTTTGGCAGTATTTCAATCATCAGGAATGTCTTCAATGCCTAGCAAATCATAAAACATATCTATTACAGATCCCTCCATCCCTTTAGTCAATTCCTTTCAACATCTTACAAGTAGGAGCTTTAATCTAAAATAAGGTAACCATATGTCCCTGATTTCTGTAAACAGTCCCTGGATATGGAATATTGACCCTAGGAAAAAAAATGTCCCTGTATTCCACAAATCAACCATACAATACACATATCTATTCTATTTCTTATATTTATTATGAAGTATGCAGCAGAAATGTATTAGAAATAAACAATCATAGAGTTTTTATTACTAACTTAGGTATATCATCACCACATGATGATACTGGTGTAACTGCCATAGCTACGAACTTGAACATGTTGTAGATCATCTTCCTGTTGTTTTTTTTAACAATAATATTCTAAAACATATACACTCATCAGAGAAATACAACTGTCACTAATACAGCAGGTCTCTCTAATACTGTCTGCATCTGGAAGTATGACGAGTACAGGTAAATCATTTTACGAAAATATTCCTGAAGTTATTTTAAAAAGCATGGCCACCTTACTCTAAAAGACCCCCAGGAAAGACTTCCTTATTTAGACTATCTATATATTCAGATAGTTATATCCCCCATACAATTTGCTGGTTGTTCATGTTAAGTAATTAATGTATTATGTATGCATTCATGTATGAACACACAATAAGCTCAAGATTGTTTTTCATTGCTGTACGAAGCAATTTTGGAGTGATTAGGCCATTGCCATTTCTAGGGAGGTCTGGGGGGAATGACCCCCAGAAATTATTTGAAACTTTAATGCTATGAGATTGAATCTTGAGCCATTTTAACTACAAATACTGCATACACACAACATAATGTATTGAATTAAAAGAAGCAAGTTTTAATACATAAATTGTAGCTATACATACCATGGAAAAGTGGTCAGGCCATGGCCTGACTGCTTCCTACAGCCCTGTTTTTATAGTAATTATGGATATGCACTTGTAAAATTCTTATCTTAAAAATATTTGAATTTAAATAATTACAACTCTACCCTACAGTGGTTCTAGGTGTTTATAATGCTAAAAACCAGGTTTCAATACTCTTGGTTGGTACAGCACAGATAGCCCATTGTATAGCTTTGTGCTTAACAATATACAAACAAAAAATAATAACAACACTAAATCTAAACAAATTGTGAGGGATGCAATTCATTTATAATACAGAGATGGAATAGTCTGTCTTGTATTTTATATTTTAGAAGCAAATAGCCTATCTCTTAAAAGAAAATACTTTTATTTTTGGGGAAAATATAATACTGATACTGATATAGGCATAGATACTGCCATTTTATTTTTTATCTAAATAATTAAAAAAAAATAAAATGCTATATTACTGAATGTATCATTATTACTTTTAGATCTATTTATAACTATTCAATTTAAGCATTAAGGGTTTTCAAGTCATGCAAAGTGAAACTGATGCTGCATAAGTTTAATTCATAAAAGTGTAGTGAAAAAAATTATCTTAGTGGGTGTGTGAATAAGTTAGATCAATGAATTACTGATTGGTAGGAGAAGGAGAAGCAAAGGTTTGTAATAAATGTAGTTCAGTCAAATTGGATTGGAGTTGAAAAAGGGATACCTCAAAGCTCTCTGCAAGAATCATCACTCTTTTTGATATACATTAAGGATATTGATAATATTTTAGATATAGTTGGAAGCTACTGTGTTACAAAGGAATATGGATTATTTGGGGAATTGGGCAAATAAGTGGCTGATGGCATTTAATCCTGCGAAGTGTAAGATAATACATGTGGGCTACCTTTTACTATAATTACCACCTTGTGGAAATCAACTCAATATGAAAGAAAAGGATCTTGGTGTTTTGTTAAATCAGTCTCTTAAGTCTTCCAGGCAGTATGTTGTTGCCAGTGGGAAAGCAAATAGGATTTGGGGTTGTATAATTGTATCTACAGGAATATTGAATATAAGTCAAACTTTTAAATTGTTATACTGCATATATATATAATTAGTATATCAGAGATTCTTTTGTCTCTCAGTGAGTTGTGGACATAAAAGATAGATCTGAAATGCTATTTTTACAAACCTCTGATTTTGAATTCAAAATGGAAATCTTAAGAGGAACATGGAGAAAAAAAAACATACACAGTTTACATGATTTTTTAACCCAAAGGAGTTTATTGTTTTTTGTACAGACCTCTTTTCAGGTCTCATTTTGAGTATTGCGTTCAATTTTGGCCTCCTTACTTTACGAAAGATATTGAGTTGTTGGAAAGGGTTCAAAGGAGGGCTACTACTAATACAAGGTTGATTCCTGGGATGGAGAGGCTGTCACATGAGGAGATGGTTAACGTTCTTAAAATAATTTTATCTTTTAAAAAGAATGGTTAGAAAGGATCTGACTGAAGTATCCAAAATTATAAAAGGAATAGATAGAACTGATACATCATCCATTGTTTAATTGTAAAAGTGGTAGGATTAGGGGATGTGGATTTAAAATTAGGCAATTTTATTTTTCAAACAGGGTGGTCAGCCTATAGAATAGATTGTCTTCGCTGCTTCGGATGGGGTAGACACAACAGGATTAGAAGAGGGCTTGATGAGTACTTGGGGAGTCAATAGTGTTTGATGAAATGAATGCTTGGGAAAGCCACGAGTCAAAGGGTGCTTGTTGTTACTCAAATGTTATGTTACACAGTGTTATTAACTTTAACTACCACTGCAGGCCTATTTCTAATTCTACTGAGTTAAACTTAACATTTTTGTAGAATTAACTTTGCAATTATTAATAGGAACTGAAAGTACAGAAGAGTGTATAACATTTGGTATATGAGACCTCTTGTCTAATACCATAGCTCTTTAGATCTCCTGGGTTACGACAGCTACTACTAAATAATAAATTGTTGTAACTTATAAGTGTATGTTCAGAAATAAAAAAATGAAGGTCAATTGCAAAAGGTATTAACAAATGACTATAAGTATAACTATTTTACGTTTAACTTGAAGCGCAACTGCATTTCTCTACAACAGTTTTATAATACAGTCTCAAAAAAGAAAGAAAAACCCCGATAAATGTCAAATTTTCGTTTAATTTTCTTTATTTTTAAGATTTCTTAACCCTATGACTAGTAATTATACTGTATTACTATTAGTATCAGGTCACGCCTCAAAAGTCTGAGACCAAAGTACTAGTACTACTACTACTAGTAAGTTATGCCTGTATGACATCAACTTGTGTATATTTTTAGTTGTTTTTTAATAGCTACTTAAAATGCTGAAAACAAAAATATATTAAAAAACAATTAAATTTCTTATTTGTGAGAAACACATAAACATGTAAAAATACACTTTGTGCAATATTATAAATATACGCGTACCTAATTAAGAATAGCTGCGAGAGTACTGTCCATTTTTAATGAAATGAAAAATGCAAATAATAGTATTACTTTTAATAGCGATATGGGTGTTCTCGCCTAGCTTCTCTAGGCCTAATCAAGCTCCCTTTATTCCCAACGTTATCCACGAGCGCCTTCATCCATCTCGAAGCAGACGACAATTTCGTTAGAACGAAAACGCGAAAAAGTAGTTAGAGAAAATAAGAAAAAAATTAACAAATTATTAGTAATGCAAAAGTTGAGAAAATACTTTTACTATATAAACTTAAAATAGTATTTTTTAAATTCAGTTACATTTTTTGTGTTACCTGTTCAATTTTATCAACAAAGTGTATATTTATACTGATATTTCAATTTAAATCACATATTATTTTATCTCATGACCTCTCACGTCTCTAACGCATGCGTCAACAGTGGCGGAGTAAGTCAAGATGTTTGACGAATGAGGATGTTTTCTACAGAACGCGAATAATATCTGGTGTTTTTCAGGTAACTTTGATTTGTTAGGCAATTACAAACTATTCTTTATGCATTTTTACGCAATTAATAACTTAAAATAAGAAGTGTTTTCCTAAACAGGAGGTATAAACATGTAAAAGTACGTTGGTTCTACAAATTACAATGGTCAATACCGTGGTACTGGTACTGTGTGGTAGTGGTACTGTAGTTTGTAAAACTTGTAATTGTAAATACTAATAATACTAATTACTATTACTAGCAATATCATTGCTGTATAAATTAAATGTATTACACTAGTACTACTGTAAGTGTTATTACATTGTACAGTATCAATGTGTAATTACTACTGTTGTGTCAGTATTTATACAAATGGTAATTTGTAGTACTTTGCTGTAGTGTTTAGACGAAATTACAGTGAGACTAACTAACTGAGTAACTAGTAATGTAATACTATTAGTAATACTACTACTACTACTACTAGTATTACAACGAATACGTTTACTTTGGAATGTGGTTTTCATTTGCAAATTATGATGTATTACTACTACAACTAAATTGTATGTTGACATGAGTTTAGAAAATGATCTTAGTTTGACTAGAACTTTTATTTTTAGAAGGAACGTGCAGTCAGTTTAACTCGGGTTCGATTGCCTGGTCAGTGTTTAGACAAGTGTTAGAGAGTCAGGCTTAAGGATACTAACAAATAACAACAATCATTTATGTGGTTGAAATTTTAGTGTCAACATTTTCTGTTAATTGTATTGTTTTAAATGTCACCTCTTCCTCTAGTTAAGGAGTATAATTTATTGAAATCTGGTTAATTTGATTAGCAGCTAGACCTAACATATTAAAAACCTATTGTAAATATATGTCACTAAATGTATTAGATTTAAAAATTGCATGTTTGATTTTGTATGAATTGTGTAAGAGTTACAAGTAGTCTATTGCATTGTTTTAACAAAACGTTAAGATTTTGATAAATTTTTCTGTTTACTAAGAATATTTTTAACAAAAGTTTGTGATTTTAATATAAAGTTTTGAAGAAAGTATAAAATTAATTTACAACTGAAGCAGTGAAAGGATATCATTGACAAAAACTGTGTATGCTTCTTCTGTGTATTTAACTTTTTATTCTGTTTCAGTGGGGAATTTCTCTTTTTGTAATTATAGACCATACATTAAGCCATAAAGATCTATTTGTATATTTACTTATTCTAGGGAAAATTTAATGTAGACACTCACAGTTTAATGGCTTTTATCAATTTTTTAGTTTCAGGGTAATGAAACATATTTAAGAACAACAGACCTTTGTTCAAGTTGCCCCAACCACTAAACTAAACATTAAAGGTACAGCTAAAAATGGAACTGTATGTTTTTCATATAGAAGAAAGTGGAGCAGCTGCTTAACCAAGTGCTTAAATGTTAAATTTGAAAAGGATCTAGAGGTGGGCTTCTAGATTGATTCCAGGAATGAAATGTTATGTGATAGGGATAGGTTAAGATCTTAGTTTCTCTTGAGAAAAGAAGGGTAAAAGGTGATCTTATAAATTTTATAAAATTAGCTATAGGGATTGATAAGGCAAATGCCTGTAATTTCTTTGTTCTTTGTGCTATATTTTCAATATCCTAGGATGAGGGAACACAAGTTTGATATTTATAATACAGACCA